ATTTAATTCAGTAGTATTCCCCTTTTATCTTTAAATTGTTATTTATGTACATTTTAAATCACGTCATGTTCGTTCATGGCAATATTTATACAATTAAAATTCATTCACTAATTCACTAATTAAAAATGAATCGGCCCGCATTTTTTGTGTTCGATCGAATTGTGTGGATTTCTGCCGCAGGAACAAGAGATTATGCTCAAATGTTCGAGCGATTCATGGTAAAGTAATATATATTGTGTACGGATTTTCCCGGGACCGGACGGTGAGTTCGAGCAAACGGAGGTATTCGAGCGATCCGGGTGCATTTCTTCCTTAGCCTCGTAGTTTACTTCCGGCTTTGAATATGAACAAAATATAGAAAATGTATGAGACTTTTGATAATCAGCTGGAAAACAACCAAGCCCCTTGCATTAATTCTAGAATAATATATTTATACAATCTTATCAAATGGCTTTTATATAGACAAGCAATTAACCCTGTAATTAAGACAATATTGCAGGCACGTTTTACCGGTGGCATCCTGGGAACCTACCCATTAAATCAATGTCGGGAAATAAAGCATTCTGGGTTTCTTTTCTTGGCAAATCGATGAAATTGTACAAGACCTTAAGTTAATGGCAAATCTAGTTAGTTGTTCTCCAACCGTCTTTTAAATTAATTCTGCCTGTCAAATGTTTTTCATCTTATACGTGGAAAAAGTGATTCTACGAGATAGAAATGTAATTTCTCCGTCACGAAACAAAAGTCTTGTCTACTCAGGTTCAGAAAAAGTAGAACTGGCATATATGTCGAAGGAGACGCGGAGTAATTTTCGTCGAAAATTGCCTTACTGTCCGTGAGGAAAATAATTTTATTCACGAAACACGCGTTTTAAGAATTCTGACTTAAGTAAAATAAAATGACATTGTAACAATACACGAAAAGTAATTTCAGAACTATTTTCTTTCGCGCAAGTATTAAATCATAATGATAGAAGTATACTTTTTGCTAATTATTGCCGAGACAACTTGGAACTATACGAAAAAAAAATCAAACAAAGAAAATATTAGCTATACTCAATCTCTGTTTAATTAGAAAATTGCAGAAAAGCAAAACAAAATGTAAATAAAAGTAATATTTTATTAAGTGCTCCATTTTTCCTAATTCGGTTAATTTTAACCGATATACATCGAAGCCTTGCTAATCCGGACCCTTTTAATCCGAAATCCTTCCTTATCGGAACAAAATTTCCGGTCCAATTTTATTTGTACCAGGGTACCAGTTATTTACAAAGTTAATTAAAATTTCTTTAGCCATTAAACATGCAGAAACAGATTTAACTGAGAAGGTATTTCATACACGTGTCCTTTAAAAAAAAGAAAAGAAAAAAAAGCTTGTCCTTAATAAAGCTTAACGGATAATTATGGAACGACAATACCGTCAAAATACAATATAGTATTAACATTCGATAACCAGTCGCATCAATGTAATTATGTAAATAAACGAGTTGCCTTGTTAATGTTGTTAATATCCCGTCTAATCAATGGCAACATAAGCTGATTCAACAAAATCCTATCTGATACACAACACTAATTTGATGTCGCCAGCAAATCGATGCTATTGTTTTGTGTGAAAGAAAAAAAAGGAAATCCTTACTAATTTGATCATATTTTATACTGGAATTTGCCTTTTACTGTTCAGAATGTACGTTGTAAAACAATTTAACGTTTTCTTTCACTTACTTTGCGTTTAAAAATATCAGTAACTATATTAACAAAATATTAAAAGCATGTTTCTATGTCTCACATTTTTGTTTCTTTCGCTTGCGAATTAAATGTGACCAAAATAGCAGGACTTTTTTTGTCATGTACACTATACTAAATTCTTGGGGACTTTTGTACTTTTAATTTTGTACCCTTCTTTATTCACTTAAAATAACAAATTTATATATAAATTTGATAGGTATATGTGATACATGTTCCTTAAGCACGTGGTCACTTTTGTATTCAAATATAGTCTAAGAACTTCTGGTTGAAAATGAATAAACCTGTTAACTTTGAACTGATACATTTGTATAAATGTTTTAGTTTCAAACGTTTTTGAAAGTTGATTCAGAAAGAAAGCAAACTATATACCAAAATGTTTTTTGGAGGGCCGGACCCTGGGCAGATTTAGTTTGATGAAAAAAGTTTTGAGTATGACTCTCTAATGTAATAAACGTTTGGGAAAAATATATCATGAAATATATGAGACAAAAAAGAACTTCATAAACATAATATTATTTGTAATAAAAGGTAGGCAAGTCACTAAGTTCTTTGCTGAAACATTGATGTGGCTTTTTCTAGGTCATTCCAGGACGAATTCTTAGCAGAACGAATCCGAAGAAGAACGGTCAGTTCCGAAACATAGTTCATAAAACTAGAATCATATCTATATTTTATTGATTTTGATTTGTTACTGTATTTTAATTCACCTAACATCGAATAAGAAAAACACTTGAAATAACTGGAAAATATAGAATTAATTTAACTTCTATACAAATTTTGTTATTGCCTTATTATATTTGCCGAAATATGGTGCGTGTGTTATAAATTAATTGAGAAAGATACCGATATCGACTGCATGAAACTGTCGTGCAAGTTTTGAAATTTCGTCTGAATAAAGTTAAGCTTCTTTTCATTTCGTGAATCCCATTAGAAACAGAATTCAACCAGTCCGAGATACAGATAATTGACCTTTTGTACGAAGCCGTGTCCTACATTCCACGAGATATATTTGGCTTCTCTTAGACGGAAACATACCGTACAACAGTATGGAAATTAGGCCTTCCAATGAATATCAATAGAAAAAAGACCGGCGGAAGGATACAAAATGAATAGCGAGTTGAGATATGCAGGACATATCAAATTACAGACAAGAAACTTAATCAATTCTGGAATCTCAGAAACTAATTCAAACTTCGTCTCAAATACCATTTTGATTCAGGGATACATTCAATCTCGACACACACACCATTCTGGGAACTAAGAAAACTATTACATTTAAACTCGTTTCTCAGACCATTCAGGGAACTAAGAGATTAATACCTTTAAAACGTCCTGCACGCTATTCAGGGAACTAAAATACTAATACAGTCAAACTCGTTATTCACACCATTCAGGGATCTAAGAAAACTAATACATTCAAACTCGTCTCACAGACCGACCAAGGATCAAAGAAATTAATTCATTCAACGCCTGTCACAAGACATTCAGGGAACAACGATACATTTATGGAATACTATAGTATGTCCTTATTTATTTTCTGTATTATCAGTGTAAAAGAATGGATGTTTTGAATGTATCCACATTTAACGGAACGTCGGTGGTTCTACTCAGGTGCCCGTTTGTGCCTGAAATAATATACAGCGGGGTACCTGAGGTCTTCCTTCGCCAGTAAAGCTGAAAAGTCGCCAATACCTATACTGTGTTGGTGTGATATTAAACCAAACAACACAAATCTACATTCAAGTGATTTGATTTTAATAAAGTACTTATTGTCTTAGCATTTTACACGTCCATTCAGTGTCAAATAAACGTACTTGATTTGAGGGAATGGCAGAAAATAAAAATAATGTGAGAAAGCCATCCTGGAAAAGCAATTTTTAATAGATTTCTACTCGCTGTGCTTAAGCAGAGTAAATTTTATCCAGATAAACATGTTTTCAGAATTGAGATGTATCCAAATAATGCAAATACAGTCGATATTTCGTGATAAAATTGTATTATCTCAAATAATCGATACCAGTGATATGGAAACTGATCCGACGGTGTATTGGCAAATTGTCTCTTACTTGCGATATTCCCTATGCGATATTTTAATATCATTGCTACTACAGTGGTGATATAATTGCCGAAAAGAGGGGTGTTTTTCGGTAAAATAATATTTGAACTACCATAATGCTTTTTATAAATATTTCCTTTTTTACATTTAATATCGAAATGATACTGTCCATGACATTAAGAATTGGGTAATAGATTCCATTTTTCAAAATGTATAGTATTAAATAATTCAATTCACAATCATCTATTTTTATTGCAATTTCATGGGCAATATAACGGCATATGACTCCCAGAAGGCTCGGAAAATTTGCATGCTATTAGATGCTTTCAAATTGTATCATCCTTGGTAATATTAAATGGATTTTATATGGTAAAATAATCAAACATCGCCAGCGTTTGACTACACGAATATTACATTTAAAAAGCAATGCATGGCGCTTCATGAATAATTACCACAAGTTTTAACATCAAAATTCCACAATTTATGCACAGCGTAGTTATTTCATTGATCAACAGACGAACCTGTCTTTCCTGGCCATTTAAGGAAATTAAGAGTGAAAGGCCTGTAAACGATGCATGCTATCGTCAGATGGTGCCTAAGAACAGGAAATCTGAACTTAAGAGGAAATGGCTGTATTAATTCAAATACGATTTGGCTTCTCAAAATTATGTCGTTATTATATTATTATATTATTGTGGTTCGTAATTTCAATGCAACCAATTTGGCTATAAATGACACTTTTTGTTGTGTGAAGACTCCAGATCGAGGGTTGACGAAGTATTGTGATTATTCCACCAGAAAAGTAGGGCATCCTTTATCTGCTCCAATACAAAAACATAACAGCAATAAGGTTATAAAGATTAATTACTTGAACTATGAACTACCTACATAAACTATCTACATGAACATGAACTATCTACATGAACTATTTCAAATCTTACCTTACATTGTGGTACGATAAATCCAAAATTTCAAATAATTATTCCAACGGAAACAGAATTGTAGAAAAATAAATATAATCCATAGAATTACGACACGTTTATCACAAAACACGTGCATCACGTGACATAGATTAATCACGTGACATAGATTACATGTGTAAGCCTGAACTCGGATTATAATAACTCGGTGGTAAAAATGAAAATAAAAACGATAAAATACATTTTCCTTGGTGATAAAAGAACGCAGTGAAAGGATATCCCCATTCTATTATGATCTTCGCATACTTCCGTATAAAGTTTTCTTCGCTGAAAATAAACAGGGATCGGGTATTTGAATTCCCAAATCCAGGAAGACTAAGGTGTGCGGCCCTGCTGGTCGCCTGACCCAGCGTTCCATCCACGGGTCCAGTCATGTCTTCGTCTCTATTCATTCCAGTGAAAGACGCCATTCTGAAATTAAATAACGAATGATTAAAATAATGATTTGTTCTGTGTACGTTTGTATTTTATGACCTTAAATCAAATCATCAAATTAACTATATTAAAGATAAAGGAATACATTTTGCTACAGTTAAAAGTTGATTTGATCAGTCATCCCCTAGCCTCAGATCTACAACACTCTACCGTTGAGACGGTCAAGTGCCCTAGTCTCAAGAGGGAGGGAAGTCTGGCGACTCCGCGACACATGCATTTGTATTTTCTGATCAAGTCATGGGTTTAGGACTTCTATGACAAAGTCTCAACCCTTTTCTGCGATCAACACCAGAACAACATCTTCAAAGCATAATTGCATTTCTTCGTTGTCTTTTACTATTTTAAAGCATTAACAAGATTTATACAGCTGTCAAATAAACAACACGAATGATATTTAGAAATGAATATATATGTTCTGAAATTGTATATTATATTGCGCAAAAAGTACATCACCAATTGTTTGTTTAGCTGCAAAGTGAAAATCTCCATTAGATAACTGTGCGGAAACCGATTAAAGCCCCCATGATGAAACTAAATATTATGTTAAAGTTCAAAACAAGCACTTTAAGCGTTATTTTCTGTCACTTTAAAGTTTCAATCAAAAGCACTTTTAAAAATGCTGTATAGAGACAAGAAAACCAGGTAGGTAATAAATAAACGAAAACAAACCGTGCTCTTAGAGCTTTTGTTTTGATAGCCTAGGAAGCCAATTTTGAAGAAACAAATAAGGCCGTAATGAACAAGATACAAAACGTGAATACCATTTCTAATCCCCAGACATACAGAGCTATTATTTTTTTTACCGAAATTTACATTAATTCCAATGTACAATAGACTTGGTCCTTTGAGACGAGCCAATCAAAACTCTCCGCGTTCGTGAAAGGTCAAAACGAAACTAAGCCAACGATTGTTAAATGCTACGTCAATGAATTTGGGATAAAATCTACGTATATTGAAAAGAAAAGGCACATCGATATTTTTAATTCGTTAGAAAAGTCAATTACTTTTGACAGTGTAGCGCATTTTCGTTTTCAACATACATATGTAAACCCCTTGAGCCCAAATTCTTGAGCCCAAATTCTCAAGCCCTCTATTTGGAATAACCGCTGCTGTCGTCATCAGATAAAACATGGTCGTGACCCGAGTTCGAGACGAACCAATCACATCGATGAGGATAACCAGCTTTTTTAATGAACGAACTCAAACCGAGGCTGTAACAGTTGCAATTTTGCAGGGTAGGGCGTTCTTATGGGAGACCATATTATTTCTGATATCTTTTAATTACAATAACATTTCTCTCCATTCTAGGCGCCAAAAACATTTGAAAGTAGCTTAGTTTTATAATATCAACAGATTTTTGTAAAAGTAATGTTTGTTTTCCCTCTATAAATCAAATTAAAAGAAAATTGCTATTCAAATATCCTATGTTTTTGTACCATTGCGTGGGTGTTTCTTTGTAAACGATTAAATACCACAACATTATCTATCAAAAATCTAACGCCAATCATATTGTTATGTATGTAAATATAAAAAACACATGTTTATGTCTAGATAAAATACATTATAATTCCACCTACCCACGCCGCCCGCGCCCTAATTAGGACAATTTACCGTGTTTGTATAATATTACAAATGACAAATATAATATTTTTGTAAATCTAACCGAGAATCTAGTATGTAGATCAATTGAAATTAGAGACTTTGTTTTTGATTTACGTGTAGATCTATGCAATCATAAAATAATATAAAATCAAAAATATGAAAAAATGGTAGAGACACTTTTGAAATGCGTCGAGAATCACATTTAAAACGAGAACAACTACTAGAAGCAGACGATATTTGAGAGGCTGTTTTGGAAGCGATATCAGATAACTGATTGCCAACGGCATAAAACACAGCACTCAAGGCAGACGTAATTATCCACGGTAAATCAATACACTGGCGATTATGCAAAGGTCGTATATATATTTGAAGACATTTTTACCAGGCAAAATCTCGTGTGAAATAAATCTATAATGTCGGCTGCTGCAAAAAAAATGCATTTAGTTATCAAGAAGTTTACACGTTTTGTGCATATAACCAAATACATAAATAGATAGTTTTCCTGAGAAAAAGCGACATGATGGGAACTTGTACAACCAAATTTTCATGTCGTCTGCGGAGAGAGTTAACTTGAAAAATCGTCTGCAAGCAAAGTTTCTGGCTATCGAATCTTGATATTCTAATGCATATATTTTATTTTTGTAGCGAAAATTTTGATTGGTTAAAGTTTTACATTTTTAAAGTGGATTGGTCTACAATGGGCACATTTGCCATAAGTATAGACAGATATCGATATAAACAATAGAAATGTATCATAAAAACACAAACAATTCTTGAATACCAATGTTGACCAAGTTCTAAGTGATTTAGTATATTAAACATTAATATGGTGAATAAAAATATTTTATTCTATCCGATTTAATAATATATGTATAATCAGATCATGTATCTCACACTTGCCAACAACATGCATTTATTATTCTTCCGTTGTTTCTTGTTATGTTTGATACTTAATAATTTCAACGTATAATGCATTGAATTATAGACTTTCCATTACAGACCAAATCCCTTTAAATCAAATCGTTCCTAAGGTATACGGTGATTTGAGTTGTCAGTGTGAACGACACATAATTGCACCCATGATGCATCTCAAAATAATTAAAAAATGAAACTGATGTAGGTAACAAAAAGTTTAAGTCATTTCACTAATTTATAGTCCTAACAACGTTAATACATTAAAATCAGTTGAATTCTGTTGTTGTTTTTTCAAAATTGTAGCAAAAAACTATAAAAACAGAAAATCATACGCATACTAAAAAATTCAATCAACTTATTGCAGTTGATTATAGTTAATTATTTAGAAACATAGCTTTGTTTCGATCGAACATAGCCTCTATACTGATTAAATTATTCATGAATATCCACACTATACTGGACACCATCTTTATCACACATTTCCCTTCCGTTCATATTATCTGTGTGTCACAATCTGCTATGACTGGCATAAACATAGGCTTTCCATTTCCACGTGTATTAAAACAATAACAGTTGAAGTAATTATTTTCGTTCATCATATCAAATCATGTCATATTTTGTCAATATTATATCATATCATGTTATGTTATGTTATGTTATTATCATGTCATAATTATATTAATCGTATCGTGTCATGTCGTGATCGTTCGTATTGTATTCTAGTATCATAGCATATCGTATCGTATCATATATCATATCATATCATATTATTTCATTTTATGTCATGTCGTATCGTATCATGTCTTGTTATGTTCTGTCGTGTCGTTCATATCATATTATCATATCGTATCATATCATATCATGTATCATATCATATCATATCATATCATATCATATCATATCATATCATATCATATCATATCATGGACTCGTCCACCTACGTAAACCATTAATCACTTTTAGTGAAATTTTAAAATGTGTATACATGTAGATTAAATAGTGAGCAATGCAGTACATGATCACCGACGTGCCAGATGGTCTTGGTCTGCACTGGTCGCATGGGTAGAAGCAGTTCCCACCAGCAGGCTAAAGGCTAGTATGTTCATTTTCCTTTTCTTTAAGATGAGTTTGATAAGAATTAAGTTTATGTGGATTATCATAGCCAATTGTTATAGAGATTCGAGAAATTGTATAACTTCTTGTCTACCGAGATAAAAATTTATAATGTATGTATGAAATGATTGCGTTAAACAATGCGTTAGATAGTAAAATTCCACTCTACTGAAATAATAAAAAAGATAAAAAAAAATATGTGGATAATTCTAACAATCCTCAAATGTTGATAAACTTAATTCGAAACAACAAAGTCTTTTGACAATTTAAATGAAATTAAATCCAGCTGTTGTGTATCATACTATAGAACGTTTCACTTTACGTAAGCTTTTGTAGAAATTCTCTTGGTAACTTTCTTACATAACTATGTAATTATACTTATGTCCCCAAAAAACCTCCCTCAACTTCCATACAACCCCACACAAATTTTCCCTTTAAAGCACCACAATCGCCTCTTTGGCACAGCAACATCTTACACATATAAAATCTCACCAAATGATTAAAGTCGTACTTTTTCCTTACATTATTTATAAAAAAAACGGTGTTTTTAGATTTGGGTATATATAATTATGTGTATTTCATTCACAAAAACTATTGTTCATAACCGGACTCATTGTGAAAATTATAATACATGTATTAGGATTCAAACAAAAACAAAATTCCTAGTAAAAGAGCGACATACATATCTAAAATTAAAATCAAAATTTTACGTTACCAAACTGTACTAGTTGGAACCGTTTCCGAATTCAAAATTTAGTTACTCCTTATGGTATGCGCACGTGCTTCCAAGTTGAATTAATAACATACATGATAACTCTTACTACTGATAATTATTCCTTCACTTAAAGCTAGAACCATAACGCGACCGGAAGTTTTTGTTTATCAGATAAATTCCTTCACTTCTGTGTCGTAAACGCTGACTATACTGTATCCAAAATCAAAACATCGTTTCCGCAGACGAGAGTTGTGTCGAATGCTTGAAAACTATTGTCGTAATTGGAAATATTGATCTAGCAGAATAGTTCAATTAGTACGACCGTGTACGTCCTAAAAGCTGTCCATTATATACATATTATATTCCATAGACTATATCCCTTTGTTAGAGATATTGCTAACAAACGCGATGTTAAAATCATGGCGCGTGCTATTTTTATTTTGTCACCTTTTGTTGCGTGACTCGCGCGCGCTCTTTCTAATGCAGCCCAGTTACGGGACTCGCGCTAGGTACATGGCGGATTTCTGGTCGTATTGTATTAGCAAGATTCAATATCCGGTCCAGAAAAAGATACGAAGTGAGTAAATAAAAGTAGTTTACATATTTACCTAGTCGATTTGTAAAAGAAACA